AAGGGCCAGCCTCGGGTCGTCTGCTTCTACTTTGTTTATTTACTTTTTTGCTTTAATTTAGGTGTGTTGTTTTTAACGATAATTTTTAAAGGAAAATCGTCGAGAAAGCGTACGAATTTCGCCAGTAACTCATCGATGAGGCCGTATGAAATATCTGGCACCCTCTGTGGTTTCTTGTTCCTTTCCTCGCTGAGAGCTGTCTCAGAGGCATCAGAAACTGCAGCTTCCACTGAGGGAACAAAAAACACCCCCGCATCCCCCGCTCCACGCGAGGCGTTTCAGGTAAATGATTAACTTCTGGCGGTCCAATTTAGCCGGCGATTAGAGTCACTTGCCTGAGGGCTCGTCACACTCTGACGCAGCAGCGTGCGAGCGGCTGTGCGACCCGGGGGGTCTCGGGACAGACGTGGCGGTTAGATGCACAAGCTGACAAGACAACCACAGCCAACGTTCACCTCCGCGGGCGCACACAGCAGTGATACACGGACAGCCGCCACGGGACACACCAGACACGCTCGACAGCATGGGGCGAATCCAGCGCCCTTGGAAGGAGACAGCGCTTTTGGCAACCATTCCCCCTTTCGCCATGATGTCTATTAGGCCTGTAGACTTGCAAACTGGAAAGAGGCATCATGCATTATTTGTTCGGCTAAGTTGTTTTGAGGGTGAGTAGGATAGGCAAGGGAACATCGCAGACAACCCACCCTCTGCCCTTACCCAGCGGAAAAAAAAACACCCCAAAACTCTTATATCCAATTGATGGGCACCAGATACTGACCTTCAGGTCTCTGTGAACTATGCCATTTAGATGACAATGATTAACACTTTCTAGAATCTGCTGTATACAATGACTGCAAAGATACAAGGGCAGAATGGAAGGGAGAACATTTTAAAGGCACATAATCACATTAAATACAAAATAAAATAGAACTTAAAAATAATATAAAGAACAAAAACAATTTTACACCTCCTGACAAGTCTTGATTGCACACTGAACTGGAACAAAACAATGTTGAATAGAGAGATATTTCCAGCTCTAACATATCCAAAAAACAAAGCGAAAAAAAAAGCAACCAACCCAAAAACAAACCAAAAAAGACATTTAACATGGAACATATGACACCTGTAAGACAGAATCATTAGACTGTATTTTCATTCAGCAGTACGGAAACTTTTTCCACTGCTGTAGAAAAAATAAAGTGGAGGCAATAAAACGATTAGTGATGTGTTTTGTTTTTTTTTAAATTTTTCCAGTGAAGTTAACATTACAAGAAGTGCGGAAACAAGAAAATGTTCAGAAACGAAATGATACACAGAAAACAAATGACACAAAAAAAAAGTCAAAAACTAAGGAAAAGCAAAACATTTCTCATTTTGAATCTAATGGTTTCTTAAAAACTGTTAGTAGAATAAAGCCAAGTCATTCAAAAAGGTGGCATGCGTTTCCATTTAAAATATCATCAAGGACTAGGTTAGTTAGGAATCAGTAATGAAACTAAGTCCACATTAAAAATGTAGACAAATGGTTTATTTTGGTGCTGCGATTTAATTAGCACCTATTTTTCCATGCCCAGGTTTGCAAGTGTTGGCCAGCCTACAATGCCAAAAAGCACAACTAAAGTATTAATCTTTTAGAGTACTGGAACTTTTTCAGATGTTTTTCGGCACCACAAGAGCTTCTGTTTTTATTTTTTTTAAAGATATGCTTGTGGCAGAAGGTAGTGACTGTAAGTAATACATTGCAGTTAGGGGCCAAGGATTTGATACTGCTCATCCAAAACATTTTGACCATGGAATTCAGAAGGAATGGTCATAAATCCATAACTGGAGTCCAAGCCTGAAAACCCTTTCTTATGCGAGTAGTTCACAACTCACTGAACAGGACTGCTTGTATGAGTAAAGACTACTCGGGTGAGTAAGGGCTTGCAGGAGCAGACCAGTACTAACAGTCCTAGGATATGCATCTATAAAGTCCATTAAATACTTCTATAAGGATACACACACATGCATGCAATATATAGAGATATATATATATACACACACATGAATATATATATAAAAATATATAAAAATACAGAGATGCATGATAACTAGAGATTTCACTTATTTGGTCAAGTTTTTACTGAATATAAAAAATGCATATATATATCCTATATATATATATGCACAGCCCCTTCCAATACGTCATAATTCTAGAGCAGAAAAAAATCATTGCAATTTTTCTTTTTAAACCACAAGTATCTTAAAAACACACAATGACACCATTTGCTGGCCTTTGGCATCAATATTAGAAATTTTGCTTGAATCACAGCAGGCAAAAAACTTTTGAAATTCAAAAAGTTTTTAAACATAGCTCCTCTCCTTCCACCCCACCTAAATTACTGATTTTGTTTTCTCTTCTCCAGCATGTTTTGCTATGCGTTGTTCCACATTTAAATGCTGAAAGTAATGATGTTTCTAACATTCCTACAGAAATTAGGTAAGAGCAATGAACAGTGGAAGCTTTCTAATATTCAGAGTAACTCCTTGTTTGTTCAGTATTATCCTCCCCTGTTGTTAGGGACACTTAATGCTTCCCGTCACCTGCCAATTAATTCCAAATATAAAGGAATAACTGAAACTTATATGTACTAAATACATATCAATGGTGATGTGTGACACTGAGCACAGAAAAACGTAAAGATTCTTTAAGTTTACTTTGAGATAAATTTTCTGTGAAGACTGTAGTGGTATAACATGTTTTCCTTGAAGGAAATGACCACAATGTTTAAGATTCGTAATTACATGAGAATATTTAAGATTTATTACTATACGAGTGCAAACAGATTCTGAGATGGAAAAACGGCCCCGATACTTTATGTCAGCATGCAAATTATGATAATCGTCAACTTATTCTTCAAGTTTTTCAACAAGCACTTGCAGAAAATTGCTAGAGATTTCAAATTTGAGCTCAGACTATGAGATGCAAAGTATAATTGCTTATTGATGAAACACAACAAAAATGTTTAAATATGAAAAGGAAATTAGTACTTCTGGACTGAGAACAAAAATGGTATTTAATGTAAAATTCTTTCAAGACCAACATATATTTCAGACTTTGATCAGCAAATGTAAGAATCCCTAGATGAGACAGCCAGAATGTCCAGTTTGCAGAGCAGAAAAGTGGGTAAGATTTTAACGACTTCACAAGTTTACAAGGATTTTAACAAACTGAGATCCAGTTGCAGCTGTTTCAGATCAGCAGGCAACAGGACTTCATATGAGTTCACCACCACACAGTCGTGAGCTCAAAACGCCAAACTGTGCCCTTCCAAGTCTAAGATAACTCTAGGAGAAATCCTAGAGTCTCACAGACTGTGCTAGTGAAACCGATGCCAAACACCATGAGATATTTAAGTAACTATCCTAGATTTATTAAAGGCTACATTAGAAAAACAAATTACTTACCTGGCATCTGCTTCACTATAATATTCCCTTGCAACTATATCTTCAAACAATTCACCTCCAGTGACTCTGTTAGAAAAAGCAAGATGGGAAAGGAGATTTCAGAAGTGAAAACATGTATCTTAAATTCACTTGACAGGGAGAAGTCAGAGAGGAGTAACTGAAATATTTGTACAGAAATGCAAGAGGTCTTGACCAGCAAGGTGAACAAACTAAAGCGGACGGTTTGTCCATCCATACCATTACATGAATAAAAAGGCTGTGGTGGAAGCGCAATCGTAACTGGAAAATAAAAGCAAAGAGCAGCAGCTTAGTGGGCAAGATGCCGTACATCAGTTAAGGATGTCAAGAGTAAGCGTAGTAAAACTACAAGAATAAGGGGAACTGACCAGCAAGGAAAATTGTGGCTGAAGTTCAGAACAGTTCAGGATGAATTGAGAACTGCAACGCAAGACAGACATAAGAGTACAGTAATGCTAAAAAGGGAAAAGGGTCTTTACATGTAGGCCAAAACACAACAGAAGTATACCCACGTGCCAGAGTGGCTTGCTTTTTGTGCTTTTACTAGAAAGAGCATTACTGAGTTGGAAGGAGAGTATCAGTAGAAGCAGAGTACTTTAATCAGTTCAATGGCAGATTTTTTTCCTAGAAAATTCTCAGTTATCTTTGTCAAGTAAGTAGGAATAGTTTAGCGAAAGTGCCACTTAAAATAATTAAAGAGGCATTAATAGTACAATGGAAGAACTGTATGATCCAGAGGACCAGTAACAGACGCAACTGTGCATGGTTGCATACTTGGGATTTCATTGTACAACCAGTGGTTTAATAGTAGGAAGTGGTTAAAATGAAATAAAACCATGTTGTTATAACCGAAGGACGACAGCCCAGAATAAGTCACCAGCAGGATGCTCCCACAGTCTTGGCATGCATTTGAAATAGGGTTACAGCAATGTCCTTAGGTGACAGCAATGTCCTTACACACGGCAGTAAAATCCCTCCTCATATCATTCACAGTTCTGGTCACTCGCATTCAGAAAAGAGAACTGAAACAGCAGTATGAACAAAAAACTGCTACTAGGCTATCCATTCACTTACTCATTGTATCCTCTCAGAGGAGCAAAGTCAGTTTAGTTTGGCAAAACAAAGTTTAAGAGGGATGAAAATACATACTGAAGACAAAGAGCATAAACCATGCTCTCCATAGAGGAGAGGTGTAAGGGACAATATTGATACAGTAATAAATAAACATACAATACCTGTGAATAAATATAAGGCTAAAACCAGGAGAATTTTTCTAACAATCATAAAACTGGTGTAATTAAACAGTTTTTGGTAAAGTAACTGAGACAGGTGATGTATTTTTAAGATGAAGATTGATGAGCTTTTAAATAAAATTGTAACTTGGCTGCCTGTGTCAACAAGAGCGGACTCAAAGAAACAGGAAGACCCTTCCTGTACTATACTCTTAACGTTTCTCTCTTATGGAATACACTGGCATACGTCACTGCTAAATGCAAATCCTCACATATTCAGGTGCTGTACTGAATGGCTGAAAACAGATGCAAGCCTTGAAGACGCACACAGTGTGGAGTGCCCAAGTGCACAGCCTAACCAGAGCTCCCAAACACAGCCTTGACAGACAGGATGCACGAGTTAGTCCGATTCTTGCTTTCCAAAACCTTGACCCTACTGATACACCAGCACAAATAATTTCTAGATGGGAGATCAATGTTTGTATTTCATTACTGTTTATGAATGTAGTGAATTTTCACATAGCACATTATAGTCTCAATAAATTCCCAAAAGTAAAATCTAGTGGGCTACAAGATGCTTAAAGATTAAGATCCTTAAAAATCTACACTACAATGAATACAATTATTATTGAATACAAGTAAGTTTAATAGGATTAAAAAATTAAATGTGAACCATAACATTAATTTGCAAATTGTTGTACTAACAGTTCGTTGTAGATCCCAGTTATTCAGTCACATTAGATGATGACAGAAATTACCTGCTCAGCCAGCAGCATAGCTCCTTTCTTTAAGAAGGCCAGTTAAAGAACTTAATTTTCATGTTTCCATTTACATTTGGATTACATCATCTTTTTTCCGAGTTTATACCTTACTGACTTTGCAAAGTCATCACTTTCAGGTAACAGAATGCTATTTTGTACAAAAGTCTGCAATAAAACCTGGAGGAGATAAAGTAGCTGGTTGCCTAATTTGTATTCTCTCTTTTTCGTCTTCTACCTTCCAGACACTGGCTTTGGTTGCTGTAACACAAAATGTTTGATTGATGCATATTTTGACAGTCTTTGATACCTCCTTTTTGCATATATATTAGTCTACCACAGTTCTGGTAAAGAGGAATAATTCTCACTTTGCGATCAACGAAAAAACAAAGCATCCTTTGATCTTATTCTTCCCTAAAACGCTTATTTTTGATCCAAGCCAGAAAAAGAAAAAAAAATGCTTTTGTCATCAAAGTGCGCTTCAGTGGCAGAACACCAAGCTGATGCTTGTTCACAAGCATGGAGAAAAGAAGGGGATATGCATTCTCATTTGCTGACACTAAACATTTGCTTGGCATTCGTAATCATTGTTAAATGATGAAAAAATAAAAGCAAGAACAAAAAAGGTGAGTTTCACTGACAACCAAACAAGTAGTCAGCAATTCCCATGCTCTGTCACTCCAAAGTATACAATAGGAATAATTCTCAGAAGGCAGCTAAATGGTCATAAGGGGACTAAGAGAGGCCAGAACTTATCTGCATCTGCTGAGATTTTCTCTGACTCCAAGAAAATCATTATAGCTGTGTTAGTGGCCGTTGCTCACTGAGCACACAGGAGCAATGCGCCCTTGCAGCGAAAAAGGTCAACTGCACCACGACACAGGACAGCCAGCAGGTTGAAGGAAACGATTCTTCCCTTGCGCCTGGCACTCGTGAGATCGCACCTGGAGTACTGTGTCCCCTTTTGGGCTTCCCAGTACATGAACGACATTGACATGATGAACTGTATCTAATGGAGGGCCACTGAGACAGTTAGCGTTGGAGGCACGTGGAGAGGCTGAGATAACTGGATTTGGTCACCGTTAAGACGGGAAGGCTCAGGGGAGATCTCTTTGCTGTCTACAACTCTCTAATGGGTGGATACACAGAGACAGCATGAAAAGCAACAGACAAGCTGAAACACCAGAAATGCCCAAACCGATTTTTTTTCTTTATTGTTATTATAGTTATTTACTATGCACTTGTTGCTCCAAGAGGTTGTGCAATTTCCATCCTTGAAGATGCTTCCAAGCTTGACAAATCCCTGAGCAACCTGATTCAACTGGACCTTGACTGAGAAGGGGTTAGACCAGATGACCTCTAGGGATCCTTACCATACCAACCTATGTTACTCACTGATTTTAAAAGTAAAGAACAGAACAGTTACCTATAAACTTCTTTTTATACTCCATACTGTTTAATACCAAAGTGTCTACAAAGCGTTCTACTTGTTATTAGATGTCATTTTGTTAGGTGGATTTTGTCCCCCTGTATCTTAAATTACGAAACATGATGGCTAGTGAAGGACCCAAGATATCTGTCATGAATACAAACTACACACACAGAAGAGATCCTTAGTTATGAGGTTCTCCTTGCCTGGCGAACGCCATGACCTGAAACAAAAGTGTGATGTACTCTTCGGAGAATGCACGGCTCTGTGCTATCCTCTGTTACCAGTAAGAGCACTGAATTGCCTGACATGGAGAGCTGTGCTGAAACCAGAACTCTTGGAAGTTTTGCTGATGAACAGAAATACTTAGGCTGATCTCTGAAATCAAATTACAGAAGGAAATTAAAATGGAGGGCTCACCTATAGTTTCACTGCTGCTTCTGCTAACCATTTGGGTTTTTTCCCCTAGGCTGAAATAATGAAAACCTGATACATCGTACCATTTGAGTGGGGTAGGAATCATATATGGATTCTAGTCTGTATACTTAAACTAGAAAGCAACTACCAGCATAGCTAGATCTAAAAATATATCCAAGGAAGGCTACACACAATGTACATGAACACTGTAAAAAAGAGGGTAAAAACTAAAAAAAAACCCACAAACAACTATGGTCCTTCATGATAAAGCTCCATGAACAGCTGCCAACCTACTTTCTCCCCACAAGATTAGAAGGGGAAGTAAATGGATCTCAATGCATTTCTGGTACAGATATGTTGTTGACTTCAGTGAGGTCCTATTTCACGACAGCACATTCATGATATGAGCTCTAGTAACCTTCAGGGTACAAAGTAAAAGCCACTGGTTCTCACATATTGTTATTGTTCTTTATTAATTTTCTGAGGAGCATACTAAAATGGCAACAAACAAAGCACATGGGTTTGTTTAAATGAAGTACAAGCAGCATGTAGAAACACCAAGGCCCTCTGCACCAGGTGTGTCTTTCAGAAAACTGCAGAGGGAGGGGAAAGCAGAAGGATTCCACATACAAAGGGTGCTATTTCTATTTATCTCTCGGGAGAGCTACACTAAGAAGCAGTTTTTAACTGCTTCATTCAATCGATTTTCTACTAAAACAAATTACTGCATTTACAGTGTTAAATGCTACATTTTTTTTTACTGCAAACATTCGTAACAACACATACAAAACTCCACGTACCACATTCAATTGGTTAGGAAAATTTATTAAGAACATATTTAAAAGGAACTCCCAAACTAGCAAAGCTATCTAAAAAAGCCTCTGCTGTTGATCACACTGGCGTTGTTTCCTCCTAGCTTACATTTCTTATTTCTTAAATTGCTTTCATAATGAAGGTGTGAGGAAGCAGCCTTACAAAATTACAGTGGCCATATACTTTTTTTACATTTTTCTGTGACCTTTCTACTTCCGAAAAAGATAGATTCAGGCACTTACCCTAGGCAAAGATTGTTCTGCAGTTAGGCCTTTTTTTTGGTATTTTTGTTTCTTCTACACAGTACAGTCCCTCTACTTGGAATTCAGCAGCAACACCAGGATTTTAAATCTACCAATTGTTGCATCTCATCAAGTATGTTAAAATGGGAGACACTGAAAAAAGAGGATCTCATTGACTTGCACAAGAGAGTCTTCAAGTGCTACAGCTGTTTCCATTCAGATACAGCAATTAATACTGGCAGAATTGACTGGATTTGAACTCATCTAACATCATTAACGCTGAAGACGATCTCATTCGTGCTTAGCAACTGCAACGGGCTGATAGAGAGACGCAAATCCTAACTGCAGTTGCCTTAACCAATAAGAAAAGAGGAGTACGAAACTTCATGAAGTCCATTACTAATCTTACGATGCACATTTCATTAATCCACAAATCACTGTATCTAGCGAGAGAAACATAACAGAGGGAAGTCCTTTGCTTGGGAGAAGTATCACAGAAGGCTATCTTAGTTAATTTTCTAAAATACGTAGGAGCTGAATTGGTAGGCCAGTAAGATGCCTCTGTTCCTCGGCAGCAACAGCAACGAGACTTTGAAAATCACTAACTTGCCTAGTCAAGTGCAAAACAACTACCGTATTCCAGAATGACACTGCCATGTATGTATTTCAGAGATGAGGAGTGAGCAACCGAAGATAAATTTTGGTTTTTTTATACATATATGATATGTCAATACTTCACTGCATCTGTTTCTCTCCTATGCAGGGCTTCTTACAGGAACACCCCAATACCGCATTTTAGCACAAAGTGCATCTTTCATTGTTCAATGTCCAGTTTCCACATGGATTTTAGAAGACTTCCACCTTCCCATTTTGACACTAGAACTCTTCACCCAAATGCACGCCTGTAACAGAGTACATTAATCACTGTTTCTTCTCCAGATAAAAGCACAGCTATCACTGAGGTATACAAGTGAAGCAACAGGCTTCTCCTTCAGACTGCAGACATCTCTATGACATTAATTCAAAAGAGATTATTAGAAATTCAAAATAGAGTGTGACAATGATTGGATTTTTTCTGTTCACAGAAAAAGCACTCTTCCTCTTCACTTTATGTGGGATGCAGTCTGAAAGAATCCCACACAGTCTGAAAGAAATCATTAAGATAACAACATGATGGTATGAGTGGGTGGAGTGACAGTGTTACACCACAGTGAGGCTCCCGTTGAATAAAAGTTAAATAAATAAATAAAAGCATGTACTTGACCTTCATATTAAAAAAGTCCATATGGTAGGTTTTTTTTTGTGGCAGTTCTTTTATGTACTTTTAACAAGCCACTAACCTACATATTTGTAACTGCAGTAAAAGATGAAGTAGTATTAGTGAGCATTAAAGCAATCATTTCTTAGTTTGAATGAACTGTGAACAGTCATTCTTACCAATTAGGCAAAAATTCTTCACGAATGCAACACGCTGCTTTTCCAAAGACAACTATCACTCAGTACATTCACTACCTCTACCACTTAGACAAAAAAAGCAAACCACATGTTCAAGACATAAAAAGCTGTATATGTATGTTGAAGCCCTCTTTCTTTGAAGAAGATGAAAACCAAAACCATGCGGGCTGTTCTAGATGGAACGGTATACGTTTGAGACTGTTCCTATGTTTGTCCTGAACAGGACTGACGGGGAAACAGAGGAAGTTCCAGCCAGTGCAGAATGCTTCCCGCAGAATCTAGTTTTCTGCCAAGACAGTATCTTTGGGTTAGGTATTAATTTTTATTACAGAATACAGGCTTCTATTTGTTCCATTACTATTGAGATATAGATACTGTTAGCTACAACTCTGAAGTTGTTCACATGCCTTCTAGCTCACATTGCAATCATTATCTCATGAGATATGGCTGGCATTATGTATTTGGTTTAAGGCAGAAGTGGACTAACTGCAATTACAGTAGGCCATAGTTTCTAACAGTACAGTAGTACAACAAAAAAATAAAAATGCCACCAGTTTATGAAAGGGATATTGTCCCTAGAACTAAGAATTCTGCATGCACTTCTTGGAAATGTTCAGGATTACGAAGATCTTTCCAAATCCACACAGAAAGATTTCCTTTGTAGCCCTTTAAAAAAAAAAAAAAAAAAGGGCAGTGAAAAAAAACCCAGTGCTTGTCAGAGAACAAGCATGCACATTGTGCCCTAGAGCCATTTCCAAGCCAGCAGTCAGAGCACTTACCTGGAAATCAGATATAAATTCCTGTTGAGCCCAGTTAGGATTTGAGTACTGAACCCTGAGTGCCTTCACTGCAGAAAGACTATTTAATATTTTTGTATTGCTAGTCTCAAATCTAGTCTTGAAGAAGATTTCTTTAAAAAAAACTAAGAAAGTAAACCAAAATGTAACCTGAACATGAAAGCACACAACTGATTGTGGAAGATCCAGGTTCTAACTTACACTGAATGCAAATATTTCAGTTTGTATGCTTAGAAAAAGAACTATTTCACATTTCAGGGGAAATAATGTATTCTCATTTTAACCAGCAAAGCCATGCTGTGGTCCTGGGGGCAGTTAGGTGAGTGGGTATGTTGTTTGTCAAAATCATACACCTCCCTAGAAAAAAATCTGCAGTTGAAATAGATAATTTTACCAAAAGAAGTCAGTTTTGCGAGACAATTCCTAACCATTCATGTTTGTGCATACCCAGAACCAAAAGCAGTAACTCTCAAGTGAGTGGAAAAGTTTGCCCATCCCAGGGAAGAACATCAAATATCTCTTTTTAAGGTAAGGGTCTTGAGACTTGTAGTTCATGTTGTCACCACCTCTTCTTCCACTGAACAGCTTTATCTAGAAGAAACAAGCTCCACATACGCACAGTCTCTACATGAACAGCTCACAGGACTCAAATTCCTGAAGCAAAATGGGAAATAAGTAGGAAACTTCCTTTCTACATGGTTGGCATTTTACATTCTGAATGGTGTCAAAATGAAACATTCTATGTATCAGTGAGATATGAGTAAGGAACAAAATACTGAAAGAGTCTTTCCCTGTAGGAAACTCAGGCTTATCTTTCAATCCAGCAGTGGAGATTTTATGTAAAGAAACTGTCTTCCACCTGTTTTTTTATGATTCCTTTACAGTCAACTGGCTTGCAGCAGATCTGAGTCGTATGTTTGCTCAGCTTTGGCACACATCATGCAACTTTTACTTACATACTTACATTTTATATTAAAATCCACTTCAACAGTGGCCCTAAGTTTTTAATATGGAATTCTTACAGTGACACTTACAAATCAGTTCTTGCACATGCAAATGACCAAATATGTTACTGTCCTTCCATCTCTGTTTACATCTGTTTGTTCAACTCATTGCAGCAGAACCACGCATTTATCATGTGAGCTTGTATCTACCTCTGAAAGTCTGAATACCACATCCCCAACATGCTAAACATGCAAAACACATACTTACAAGTCAAAGACTAAGTAATGGAATCCTTCTTCTGATATGCTGTCATGAAGCCGCACTATTGAAAGGGGGAAAAAAAAAAAGATTAACACCAGTCATCTTTTTCATGTCTTCAATGTCTGTCTTTGATTTTATGGGAGAAGGGAGGATTTTGATTCTACTGTAGAGCTGGTATTGCATCTGTGTGTGTTCTCATCTGCGTTTTTTTTAAATTCTCCACCCTCAGGACTGTCTTTTTCATAAGGTGAGATAAACAAAGAAACCAAAAGACTGTATGTGCAGCTCATTGTACAGTTATTTTTAAATCAGCTCTGCTTTTGCTTTGCCACAGAAGAACGCTGCACTCATTTCCTACCACCTCCCGCGTGTATGGGCACATAAATACACAATGCACCTTGCCTTTGCCCTTCGTGCTGAATCGTGACTGAAAAAGTACTAAAAGCAGTCAGACTTCCACTTAATATATTGTATTATAAAGGGAGTAAAAGCTCCCTTTTTCCTAGGCAGAACCTCCCGTCAATCTTTTAAATAGCATGTGCAGGAGTCTCCAGTCACTGGAGTTTTATTATCTGAAACAGTATTCTTAATGACATACAACTATTTTCTCAGCAGCATTACATCTTAAAAGTTGTAAACAAAACAAGATGGGGAAAAAGAAATCCTGAATTAATCACAGATTTCAGCAGAATAACAAACTTTAAGGGCTATGTTAACAAATTCCATAATCAAGACAATAGATGCTGATTTTGAAAGAGAAAGCATCATTGCAAATTAAAAGCATTCGACTATACTAAAATAAATGGAGAGCAAAAGTGCACACTCAGTAATTCAAGATTCTTTTTTGACTAATCATTAAATTAAAAATAAAATCACTGTCTGCAGTCCCTAATTTGCCTTTTCTAGTCTCACCTTCTCCTTATTCTAACTTTTAAGTAAATGCCTTCAATTTTTGTTGAGATAAAACAGTCAAACATTTAAACAAGTTAACTACTGAGACAGTGACTAATTTCACTGTAACAGTCAGCTGCAGCAGTATAAAAATACAGTATTTCTCCCTTTGAAGCCACCTTTCTGTTCACTGGAAACATCATTATATCATAATATACGCTTATAGAGGAAAAAATGAAAGTTGTGTGTGACTCACTTGTATTCCCTTAAAACCCAAAAAACCTCCAAACCAAACTGCTCATCCCCTCCCTATCAAATGACAACTAGCTAATAACCAAATCCATACCACACCATTGAGAATAGTCTTCCAGAACAACAATTCAAGCACACATTCCTTATTAAGACTCCTTAAGCAAAATAAGAACACAACCACGAAGAAAAGAAAGAATCTTATGGGTATACCAGTATCTCTGCAAGACAGAATCCATAAAATACTGACTCCTTGCCCTCATTCAGACCTTGTACCATTCTGCAGTGTATTTTCATGGTGGAATGTCTGTGCATGGGAGGCCAAAAAAAGATCAGCATAGGAAGAGAAGAAATTTTGAGAATGGCAAACTTACAGGTTTAACTGGCTCCATTGAAAGCATGGTATTAAACGCTGGCCTTCATTTTAAAAAGTTTTACATTCATTTATGAAAGCTGATAGCTAAAATAAATAACCCTCTCAAACTCCAAAACTAGACACATGTGAAGCTGCTCAGAGAAGCGAAGTGAATGAAAAAGGAATTCTCTCACTATGCATCTGATGTGCTGCAGTGGTAAAGGGTATGCTGGTTGGAAACTTGTTAATAGGAATACGGATGAGAAACCACGAGGGAGCTAAAGCCTTTAGAACTACAAACCGCATCAGTCTGAGAAAAAAGAAAGCTCTGGCTGAACGGCTGGCAGACTTCGGGTAAGGAAAGCTTTCCTTTCTCTAACCAAAGAAGGAAAAAAAAAATCAAACAGCTACCAGCTCCATCATTAGCTTCTTCACTTAACTGACGCTTCTCAATGGGGTCAGAAAGGGAATAAGCTATATTCCTCCTCATATTTATATTTCATATATGTATTTCCCTCTAATCTTCTTTCCTGTCATCCACTTCAACCACATGAATGGTGAATAGTCGTGAAGAGATAAATCCACTGGCAGATTGATGCCTGCCAATCTATGCTGAATTTCCACAGTGGCGGCCAACACTACGGCTGAAAGACTAAAGGCAAGGGCCTGGGACTACCCAGCACCCAGCTGCGGGTGCTCAGCCAGACCTACAGACAGCCAGGATGGGCAGGAAGAGAAAAGGAACGAGCGCGCGGGGGTGTGACAGCTCGGCAAGGTAACTGCCTCTCATTAAATCACCGTGAGGAGCCATTTCTGGGAAGATGCAAGGCGCATGAGAGGATCTGCCAGAAAGTAAAAGGATGTGATGTCTAGAAAATAGTCATTAGCCTTTCCAGTGCTTGTCACAGCTGACAAACTTACAGCATCCCAATGATTAAAACCCCATGTCATGTTTACACACATCTGTGCATCCATATCTGAAGTTTTCCCTGAGAATGCACTAGGCAGCTGCAGAGCTTCATTTTGCGTTTTAAGAATTCAAATCACATCATGGTAGAACTATGAATCAAGTCTTGAGGCTTTTCTTAATTACTTTAAATGAAATAGCAATTTCCAAAGCTAATTTTCCCACAATACATGATGCTTTGTCAGTAGTTTGATCCAAATCATTATAGAACCAAATAAAAAAATCGGGGTACCCTGAAACTGCTTCATGTTCAAAAGTAAGGTGATGAAGAAAGTGTAAAAGAAAACGATTTTCAAATTTCCCCACATAGTAGCTTTATGTACAAATCCTTTTTCATAAAATACATGGGAAACATCTTGTGTTTACACAATACTGAAGAGAAACCCAGCTCTTGGCTGACTCACTGCTCAGAGCTCGTGATGATTCAGAAGAGCCAAGTAGGACTAAATCAGAATTTGTGGTTTTGGCTGGTTCTATGTACTAGGTTTGTCTAAGTTTTTATGAAGGGCAAGCCTTGAGCATAGAAGACCAAGGTAGTACATTGCTGCTGTGGTAAAACATACCCTATTTATAGACATTAGGGGAAATGCAGTTTAGGATATCGGAATCAAATAATGTAAATATCAGACAGTATAAAATTTAACTGATTAAAAAACTAGAACACACCGACAGTGTAAGAACAATTAATCAAATAGTAACAGTGTAGCAACAGCAAGAAATATGAATCTTCCAGATCTTTGTACTAGTGCATTTTCAATGTCTTGCAGGGAATTCAAGACACGTTATTTATTCATGTCTTCAGTTATTCATGTCTTTTAAAAGAAAAATAACAACAAACCCCAACACAAAACAAAACAAAAAAGCCACTTCAACAAACCAAAATAAACTTTCTTTCTGGATGCATTTTTGAGTTGAGATTTCAATAACCCCAAATGTCTGTTTTTTAAAGGAAACAAAATCTGAGATGAGACACCGAGCACTAGCCTAGAACAGTATCCTGAAATTTCTAGCTCAGAACACAGACTCCTGAAACATCTGGCTTTTGAGTATACTACCAGCATCAAAGATACTACTCACGAGTGAGCGCTCAGAAATTAGCAGCGGGATTTAGTACAGACCCTTAGGTGTATTACAGAGATGCAACATAACCCTAAAATAGTGAATTTTGGAGTGCAGCTATTATGTTTTGCATATGCCTCTCCAAAAAAGTTTAAAACTTTTTAAGATTTAATACATAGCAAATTATACCTTTTGACAGAAACTGCCTGTTCCTGAAATAGACTCGTAAGAACTCTAAGCATGGTTTTTCTGTGAACACGAATTCAAAGCAGCATTCCTCTCCTCGCTGCTCGCTAACAGCATTATATTCACACAGGCAGAAGCCTTCATATTAGATTTCCTGTATCCCATGCAGATATTTAGAACTACCAAATACTTCTGGTGAGGCAGAGTATTTGCTGCCAACTGCTTTCAGAGCTCTGAAGCATGTTAAAACAACCCAGATTTTTGAAACATCTTTAGAGAATTGAAACAAAGTATTAGATCTTAAAATTCAGAAATTAAATCCACCTTTAAAAATATTACCTTGCTATTAAAACCAGACAGTCTGGGCTTGGGCTTGTGGCTACAAAACAGTCCCCAGCCTATATTCTATGCATACTTACTCAGTTTTCATGGTTCATTCCTCCTAATGCTCCAGTGTGGATTTGCTAGCAACCAGCTGAAGCAAAGGACTGTATTCTTTAATTACCACTGTATTTTTTTTTAAACACGGAATGTCTTTCTTACATACATTTACAAGAAAATCATCTCCTAGGTAAGAATGAAGTCAACACCAACCTACAGTCACTAAGGCACAGTTTGAAAACTGTGACCCTGAAGTGACAAAGTCATAGAAGATGAATAAGCTGCAATTCATTGGCTTTGGTTCAAAGCAGTACAAAACCCCTTTCTCTCTCTTTTTTTTTTTTTTTTTTTAATAATCATATCTATCTGGTACTGGTAGGAATATCTATATTTAAGACTGCGATAAATACTTCGTATCTATAAAGACTGAAATAGACACACTACTACAGGTATTACATATAGATATCAGCAGCTCCGTACAGAACAGTAGCTTATTCCTGCTATGTCAGAGAAGATAAATACTTTGCACACCACCACACATCAAAACTAGAGCCAAGAGTAAAAGTTTTATGTTGGATGGAGGCATCTGTCAGACCCCTGTTATGAAGCAGACCAGCACAGCACCATGTGAAGGGGATTCCAGAGCTTTGTGACCTGCCTGAAACAGGAGGTGCTCTTGGTCTGTCACATGCTTTTCTAGAAGAGGGCTTCTTTGTTCAGTGTCACCGCAGAACTATAACTCCCTTCTGACTAGAAAAGGATTGTGATGTGAGATGATGGACAGTGGTTTTCTCAGCCTGGCGAGGCTATTTCCTTACTAGCCAAACTATAGTCTGACATGTCCATGGGGATATCTTCTTCAAGGATCACATTCATTCTTTTTATTTCCTCCCAAAGGTCTGATTAATAGAAGTGAGACAGGACAAATCCTTCCCTGAATCAGGATCACATGTCCCTGACTGCCTCTGAAAAG